CAACCAAACGACTGTGGTCTACACCCACCAACTGCTCCATGGGAGAAAGATGCAGCAGCCCATCTCCGCAGACTCATGGCCCTGGGAATCCCACAGGGCAGCTCCACTCCACACCACATGGTCACTATGAGTCAGAATCAATCCAGCAGCAGAGGGCTTGGTATCTTCTCCTGAGAACCACTAGAGGGCATGCTTATCCTTAGGTTTTATTCAGTGCTGATTCACTTCTGGATACTTGATCTCTGGAATTCAATACACATGCACACGAAGGGAAGACTTAGCTGGTCAAAGACTCTGACGTAAGTGCTGGGGCTCAACTTTCCTGAGGTGAACGTGAGGGGCTGTCTATGTCTTTCCCTCATGGATGCCCCTTCACAGGTTCTCCTACGGTGTCCCACTGTGGGCAGGGAGCTAGCCATTTTCCTCTATATCGCTGCCTGTCCAAAATATTCCCCTTATCCTGCTGACTTGCATTTCTTCCCTGTCCTATTGCCTGTTCATCTCAATCCTCAGTGAGATTCAACAGCAATCTCTTACAGCATCAGTCTCCCTTTGCATCCTTCCAATTGCACAGCTGGGAAATTTCCACAGCCAGTCTGTGCTGCCTTACAAAATCGGGCTACAGCTTCCTCAGATTAGCTCCCTTACTGTGTTCCCTGTTGAGGGTGTTGCCCAGCCCCATCCCAAAATGCCTGTCAAGTGCCCATGATGTTAGTAGGTAGGTTCTTCCAGCTTCTGTGCCTTCCCTGTTCTTCCTCTCCCCTGCTTCTGGACTCACACTGACTCTCCAACACCGCAGCTGTCATCAAGAGTTCTGAGCTCTCAGTCTGTGCTTGTTTTTATTATGGCTCAATGGGCTAGTCACTGGGGTAGTAAATGGAAGCGTCCACTCACTTCTCCATCGAACTCTGCCTCTAGACCAAATTTTACAGTGAACACCTTTAAAATATGGGATTGGGCCTGAATGGATGAGGCAGGCAATTGAGAGTGTGACATCTGCTAAAGCATTTGCCCCTCCAGTGCCATTCTGGCATGCGTAATGGGAACTTTTCCCTTTCCTCAGTAAATCTGGCTGTTGTGTTTATTTCTGGGATTACCTGCAGATTTAACTTATCTTTTATTATATTTTTTATATTCTTTAGCCATATCTTCCAGGTCAAAAGCCAGGTATGATCACACCTGGAGCCTTGGCCATGAATGCTGCTTCCACACTTGGGTCTTCCCAGCCCCAGCATTTCTGCTTCTCAGGCATCTGAGGCTGATCTACCCGGCCTTCCTGGATCACTTTGGGCCCATACTGCCTGGGGTTGCAGAGCTTACTGGGTAGTCTTACATTGTCTGTATATGCATCACTCTGGGATGGGCTGCCATGCTGCCTGCTGTGAGCCCCTCCTGGTCCCTGCCTTCTTCATATTCCTCCTTATCTTCCAATCTTTTCTGGGAATGGGTGTGAGAAAATGGATACCGGGCAATCAGAAGTGTCAGCAAAATTCCCAATATTTGCCTAAATCCCAATCCACTCCCTCCAATATGACACATTGAGTGAAATCCTCCACATTTCTCATATGTTTTACTTTCTTTCCAGTAGAATATTTGGCCTCCCTAATAATGAATCCCCCCAACCAGGCCTCACATATTTATGAAAGTAATTTCTTCCAAAATTGTTGCTTTGTCCTACTCTCTCCACCCCAGGATTCCTGGGCTGTTTTGTGCTGGATATGCCTTGAAGGAGATGTGACTGCACTGCTCAGCCATTACCATAGTCCTGGATTTCTCAACCTTGGCATTATTGACATTTTTGCTAGACAATCTTGGTTTTAAGGGGTAGGGGGAGGAGAAGGGATTGTCTCATGCATTGTGGGAAGTTTAGCAGCATTTCTGGTCTCTACCCACTAGATGCTACTAGAATCCCCATCTCCCAGTTGGGAGAACCAAAAACATGTCTCCAGATACTGCCAAATGTTCTTTGGAGGACAAAATTGCCCAAGCTGAGAACCACAGCCAGAGGCATATATATGTCCTCAGCTTGGCCAGAGTGTGAATGATCAACTCTCTGTCTTGGTGCCCTGGTACCATCTCTTAAAGGCCTAGTGTGACATTCCATATACAGAAATTCTCAGAGACCCTCCTGTGCCCCTTATTCAACATTCTAAGATCCAGATCTTAAAAACCCAAACAAACTCACAGTCGTCGAGATGCTTTTGACTCATAGCAACTCTGTAGGGCAGATCCAGGCATTAAGATCTGCCTTAATAGGCTGGCCCATGGCACAGTTTACTCTGCCTATCATGATCTTTTGTCCTCTTTTTCTCTGTCTCACACTGTCTCTGTCTGTCTCACTGTAGGTATACCTCTCCCTGTCATGCATCTGACCAGTAGAGGTCACTACTATTAAGGAGTAACATCCTTAAGAATTCACAGGAGTGCTTGATAAAATTGTAGATCCCAATGGCTAAATTTCAATGACTTTGGTTCCTGACATCTGTGGGGATTTGTTCTCTGTATCTGCTATTTTTTTTGCTTTGTTTTAAAACAAGAATCCCAGGAGCTTATGGACCTGTGGGTGGCAGCTCCTACTTTGGAAAACAGGGAGATCCAGCTGTCTGCATTCAGAGTGAACATGGTTCTGTAGCTGTTCTTCACCTGGGCAGCTTTTTCCATTTTTCCTTTAGACTGAATATGAGAGCCGGGAGCTGGTTATGTAGTGAATCTCTATGCTTGTGTTGGCTTACGTTCATTTCAATTGGTAACTGGAAGGAGAGCTCATGTTTACTAGTAGGGCGTTGTTTGTCTGGCATTATCAGAATACTGGCCCCCACTCTCTAAATGGAGCTAGCCTTTAATGGTTCACTGTGTGCTTAGGAAGGAGCCTTCGTGGCGCAGTGGTTAAGTTCTTGGCTGCTAACCAAAAAGTCAGAGGTTCAAACCCACCAGCTGCTCCACGGGTGAAAGATGTGGCAGTCTGCTTCTGTAAACATTTACAGCCTTGGAAACCCTATGGGGCAGTTCTACTCTGTTCTACAGGGTTGCTATGAGTTGGAATCGACTCAGTGGTAGTGGGTTTGGTGTGCTTAGGGCACAGAATAGGCACAGCTTTCCCCAAAAGTGTTCAAGTGGTTTCCCTATTTACATGCCTTCATTCATCCATTCACTTCCTAAAGAGTCAATTACCGCACTGTTATCGGTATCTGTGATGGAGCAGTGAACAAAACACACATCCTGGCACCATGAGGCTCAATTATACTACAGAAGATTGTTGTAGATTGGAGTTCACCTAGAGGTGCCTCAAAAGAAAGGCCTCGCAAACTACTTCCAAAAAATCAGCCATTGAAAACCCTATGGAACAAAGTTCTACTCTGACACACATGAGATCACCATGAGTTGGAGTCCAGCCCATGACAAATGGTTTTCCTTTTTTTAGATGCATAGTATATCTTTTAGGAAGAAAATGACACACATATCCTTGTAGCACCTTATTTAAGGGGAGAATCTGTCACGCATTACAGTGCAGGTGGGATTCATCCAAAGGTGTTCAAATGAAGATGCACCAATGAAAGGGCAATTTCAGAGACGTGAGCCGGGTTAAGTAGATAAAAAAAGGATGGTGAGGCTCCCAGGGGCTAGAAAGTGTGAGAAGCCTTTAATGACCCTAAGGCTTAAGGAAAATGGGAAGAGGATGTTGTCCCTAAAGCCCCATAAGAAATGAAACACCCGACAGGAGCCTTACAGTAGATAGTACAAATTGTGATGGATGCCGTGATAGCCAGAGATGCAGCCCAAGCAGGCAGGATAACAGGAAGACAAGGCATTCACCTCTCCCTCATTCCACACTCAGATACCTACCTGCTGCTGCCTCCTAATGGCTGAATTACCCTGTTAACTGGAGGGAGAGCACCTTCTGGTGAGACAGTCCATATGTGTGTCTACTTGGGACACAGGCCAGGGCTAAGGAAGAGGAAGAGGACCTGGGAAAAGATGAATGGAGAATAGTTTCCTAACATCATTGTCTTAGTTATCTAGTTGTGCTGTAACAGAAATACCACAAATGGATGGCTTTAACAAACAGAAATTTATTCTCTTACATTCTAGGAGGCTGGAAGTCTGAATTCAGGGCACAGGCTCTTGGGGAAGGCTTTCTCTCTCTCTAACAGGTCTGGAGGAAGGTCCTTGTCATCAGTCTTCCCCTGGTTTAGGCGCTTGTCAGCTCAGGGACCCCATATCCAAAGAATGTGCTCCACTCCCCACCCTTCTTTCTTGGTGGTATGAGGTCTCCTTCCTCTCTGCTGGATTCTCTCTTTTATATCTCAAAAGAGGTTGACTCAAGATACAACCTAATCATGTAGATTGAGTCCTGTGTCATTAGCATAACTTCCTCTAATCCTGCCTCATTAACATCATAGAGGTTAGAATTTCCAACACATAGGATAATCACATCAGATCACAAAATGTTGGACAATCATACAATACTGGGAATCAGGCCTAGCCAAGTTGACCCACATTTTGGCGGGACACAATTCAATCCATGACTGTCATTCTTCATACCTTTAATCTGCTCTGCTACCATGTGAAAAATAATCTTCAAGTGGTGAAGTTACAGAGTAGGAGCTCCTTATTTGGGTTTCCCTAAAGCTCTCCACTAACAAATAATGTTTTACATAATAAGATATTTTGTGCAATTAGATTACTGTATAAAAATAAAAAGTTTAAAAGAAAATGTTGTTATTTGCCACTGAATTGGCCCTGACTCATGGTTACCCCATGCACAATGGAACAAACCAAAACACTGCTTGGTCATGTGCCATTCCCATGATCGGAGACAAATCAGACAATGTTCTGTTGTGATCCAGAGGGTTTTCACTGCTGATTTTTGGACGTAGATCACTGGTCCTTTATTCCTCGTGCATTTCAGCCTGGAAGCCCCACTGAAACCTGTTAAGCATCATAGTAGCATGCAAGCCTCTACTGACAGACTTGATGGCTGCCCATGAGGTGCATTGGCTGGGAATTGAACCCACGTCTCCCACATTGGAGGCGAGAATTCTACCACTGAACCAGCACTGCACTGATTAAGAGTAGGTAGGGCTGCACAGCTTGTTATTATAATTGCTGTAAGTTGTACAACTGTAAAAAGTTGAATTTGCAAAAGTTATGTGATAGGTATATTTACAACAGCAACAATAAAGAGGTGTTGCCGTGGCTGCTTATGTAAAAGCAAACACCTCATGGGATTTGGTTCCTTGGTTTGGAGGTTTAGGGTCATGGTTTCATGTGACATCCCAGTTAATTGGCCTAATAATGTGTTTGATGCTTCTGTTCTACCTCCTAGTTCATTGCATAATACCTGGGGTCTTAAAGGCTTGCAAGCAGCCATCCAAGGCACATCAATTGGTTTCTATTTTCCTGGACCAACAGAGAAAGAGAGTCAGGAATAAGAGGAGGAAATGGAATGTTTGGCTAATTGCCTCCATGAACAACTGTTTCCTTTGTCATGAGACCAGAACTGGATGGTGCCCAGCTACCGTTACTGAATATTTTGATCAAAGATTCCATCGAAGAATCCTGATCAAAAAGGGGGAAATACAGAACAGAATTGCAAATTTTCATGGAACCCAGATTTTCTGGAGCCATGGAGGCTGGATGAACCCCTGAAACTATTGCCCTGAGATAATCTTTAAAACTTAAATGAGAAATAGCCCCTGAAGTGGTCTCAAAACCAAAGAGTTTAGCTTAACTAGTAAAGGATGTCTGCCTTGAGCATTATGCTCTTTAAGAACTATCTGTATGGGATTAAAATGACAACAGCAACTTGAAAGATTAGATAGGAACCTTGGAGGGCAGTGAATTTATGTTAATGGGTGAGGAACAACTTAGAAAGGAAGGGGGAGAATGGCTGCACAACTCAAAGAATTTAATCAATGTCACTGAATTGTACATGTAGAAACTTGGATTTGTGTATGTTTTGCTGTGTATATTCTCAACAACAAAATGAATAGAATTTAAAAACAAAAAGAAAATAGAGGTGCTAAATAAGGGCTGGAATGTGTAGAAAGACTGCATCGAGTAAATGAGTATAAACTAGGAGTTGAAGAATGAAAAAGCTTTGTGTTATTGAAAGTGAATAATATTCCTGGAACAAAATGACTAATCAACATGAGTTCCAAAGCCAAGAAAAGTGCATATGTAAAGCAAATTAATGCCATCTAAGAAACATAACCAAATACAGTGGGTGGACTTTGTTGGCATCTTAATTAAAGTAAAACAGTAATAAATAACCTACTTGCAGTTGAGCAAATTTAAACACTGATTAGGTACTGATGACAGTGAGGAATTATTATTGATTTTTTAAGTGTGGTAATAGTATTGAAGTTACGTTAATTAAAATTAATTATTTTTTAGAGAGCTAGACTGATGTATTTACGGATGGGATTATGGGATATCTTGGTTTTACTTTAGAGGAAAAAGGTGATGAATGGGATTGGACATGATCTGATGGTTGTTGAAGCTGGCTGATGGACACACAGGGTTTACTATGTCATCCTTTTTAATTTTTGTACAAGTATAAAATTTCCGTAACAAAGAGCTTAAATAAGATAAAAACTAACCCATGTTAAGACATAACCAAGGAAAATAGTGCTGAGAATATGGTATTTTAGGTAAGAGCAAATCCTAAAGAACTTCTTCCAGTATGGTAATTTCTTTCAACTTTCCTCTTCCTTCTTTTAGATCCTTTATTCACCATGGGTGGTATTTTCTCTTCTCCTTCTCATAATGAACAACACCAAAATTTGCTTTCCAGTATGGATGAGTATTTTAAGAATTTCAAGACGGAAAACAAAATCCTCTCTGAGGAAACCATCAATTTGATCAAGTCAAACTTGGAAAAAGGTTACATTGATAATGTGAGTACTGTACTTGATAAGGCACTAAAAGAAATTGATAGTGCCCCACTGAATATTGCTGTGACAGGGGAATCTGGTACAGGAAAGTCCAGCTTCATCAATGCCCTGAGAGAAGTTCGGTGTGGAGAAGAAAATGCGGCCCCCACCGGTGTGGTAGAGACGACCAAGAAGCCAATTTCATACGAACACCCACGGTTTCCCAATGTGAAATTTTGGGACTTGCCTGGCATTGGGACCACTAATTTCCAACCACAGTATTATCTGCAGAGAGTAAAATTTGTTGAGTACGACTTCTTTATTATCGTTTCTGCTACACGCTTCAAAGATAATGAGGCACAACTTGCCACAGCCATTAAAAGTATGAAAAAAAATTTCTACTTTGTTAGAAGCAAGGTGGACATCGATTTATAGAATGAACAGCGAAATAAACCGAAGAACTTTGAAAGAGAAGAAATCCTGCAGCAGATCCGAGACAATTGCTCGCTCTGTTTTGAGAAGATTAAGATGGATGTACCACAAATCTTCTTGGTCTCCAGCAATGATGTATCTAAGTATGATTTCCCAACCCTGACAGACACCCTATTAAAAGATCTCCCTGCTCAAAAGCGCCATATTTTAATGCTTTCCCTGCCCAGTGTTACTGAGGAAGCCATTGAAATAAAGAGGAATTCTCTGAGGCAGAAGATCTGGCTGGATGCCTTGAAGGCTGGTGTGTTGGCCACTTTGCCTATGGTGGGCATCATCAATGATAATGATGTAAAGAAGCTGGAGGCAAGTTTAAAGGAATATCGAGTTCTATTTGGGGTGGATGATATTTCTCTGCAAAATTTGGCTGAGGATTTGCAAGTGCCTGTGGAGCAACTCCAGGCAATCATTGAATCTCCAACTTTGTTGGAAAAAAAGGAAGATAAATCAATACGGGAAACGCTTTTGAAATGTTTGGAGAAGTTCTGCTCAGCTAATGGAGGTCTCCTTGCTACAGGTCTTTACTTTAGAAAAAACTTCTATTTGCAATATCATTTCCTTGATATAGTGACCAATGATGCTAAAATTCTGCTTAAAAAGACATTTTCAGAAAAGAAGCTGATGTCTCATTAGAATAATACCATCTGAAAGTTGAATTTCAATTCATGAAGAAAAAATTTTGCAATGTAGATCCCTAAACAATGTACTGGGCGTGTTGATGAGCCAAGCCTTCAATTCATCCTTAATTATTGCATGTCCGTGTTAGCTGAGCCCTGGGTAGACCACAGATAAATACCATTCATCCACTTTTAATAAACTGCCGCGTCTGATTATTCTCTTTTTATAAAATGACTAATCAACTTCTAAGAATCCTACTGAGTCAGATTCTTTCCTGGGATAATAAAGGAAAAATCTGTAATTCTGTGCTGAGAGGTGAAGCATTGTTCCCATCTGCTTGAGTAAGGGTTGAACCTAGTGACTAGCTTCTAACAATAGAGAGTGGAAAGGAAAAATTTTGACTTTATTCACCAGTGACCAAGTTTAAAATAAACGGTAATAGGCCATATTAATCTCGTGTGTCCCCTGATATGATGTGATGGAAAGTGCGCACCACTCCTGTGGTATCCTTCCTCAAAATTCATAATTTCTTCCGATCATGAGAAAACAAACCAAGAATTCTATAAAATACATGACCAGTACTCTCGGAAATTGTCAAATTCATGGGGGGGGGTGTGTGGAAAAAAGACACAGAAACTTTACAAACCCAATCAGATGAAAGAGACATGATAACTAAAATGCAATTTGGTTTCCAAGATTGGATCCTGACACAGACAAAAAACAGTGGAAAAACAGATGAAATCCACAGTTATCTTTCAACTCCCTCCACCCTGTGAATCAGCAGAGATGTAGAGACAGGTGGGGAAAGAAGGGGACACTTGCCCCTTGGGCACAAGTCCAAAGGGGTGCCAGACGAATTGCAGAATGACATTCCAATGCACCACAAATATGAAGGACACCTGACTGAGGTTGCTGGACAAGAGGGAGAAAGGCATTTCTGCTGACGGGTGGCCAGTATCAACGTCTATGCGTCTTGAAACTGGGGGGGGTGCGGGTGAAGGGGGCAACTTAGAGATTGCCCCTGGGCACTTGTTACCCTCACTATGCCCCTGTGGATCAGCTGTTATTCTCCAATACAACTCATAGAGAATATTTGTAAAATGCCTTGTCTTTGGAAAAGATCTGTTGTCAGGGATCTGGTTGTCATATTCTATTTGGGGCTTCTCAGGCCCAAATGCTACGTTATAACACCATTGTTTTATATGTACTTCCTTTGTGTTTTCACTGAGTCTTGCATAGTCTTGGATTTTTATTTTTATTTTCCTGCACTGAATTTCCCTTTCCTGCTTCATATACTATGTACCCCCAGTTCTCACTTATCGACATTGTTATGTTCCAAAGACCAGGTCATTATTTGAAGATCGGCATTATGCGAAAATGGAGGCTGTTTCCATCATTACAAAACTACCAGATTATATCATTACATAACTGCCAAACCACTGAGAATCGTGGCCCAGCCAAGCTGACGCATAACTTTAACCATCACAGCCAGCATTACTCTTGCCTCGCACCTCAGTGTTCGTTACTGCCAGACGTACGTCATTAATGTGCAAAATAGCTGGATAGTAGATTTTTTTTTACTATTGTCATAAATGCGAAATGTTGGATAATGAGATAGTCAATAAGTAAGGAGTAGGTGTATAGTGGAGCCCTGGTGGTGCAGTGGTTAAGAGCTTGGTTGCTAACCAAAAGGTCAACAGTTCAAATCCACCAGCTGCTGCTTGGAAACCCTATGGGGCAGTTCTACTCTGTCCTATAGGGTCACTATGAGCTGGAATTGACTTGACAGTGACGGGTTTGCTTTTTTGTTTAGGTATATATTACCATCTGTAAAAGCAATGGAAAGTCAATCTTCAACTTTCTACTGTTCATGGAGCAGCAAAACCTCTTAATAAAGCAACATGGATCTATAGAATGTTTTCCTATAAATTTCAAAAGTTTGAATCATGCAGACTCTGGGTAGGAAATCATATTAAAAATGAGAACTCTGATGGTTCGTTATTGGGAAATGATAACAGAACAGGCAGAATCTGTAGGAAATCCTGTTGATTTTTTTCTTTTCTTTTTTTAGCTTTTCTATCCCTTTTTGTTATTCAGCCACAATTAGATATCCTGTACCAGTTGCTGTTCAGTTAACTCTGACTCAGCAACCCTATATGTATAAAAGCAACCCTATATCCTTTTTGTAATGTTGGGTTAGAGCATTATAAATTAGTTGCCATTGAGGTGACTCCAACTCACGGCAACTCCATGTGTATCAGAGTAGAACTGTGTTCCATAGGGTTTTCAATGGCTAATTTTTCAGAAGTAGATCGTCAGGCCGTTCTCCCAAGGCACCTCTGGTGGACACGAATCTTCAGCTCTTAAGTTATCAGCTGAGTGCATTAACTGTGTGCACCACCCAAGGACTCCCAGAGGATTATATACCATGTATATATATATTGCCTTTGAGTTGAATCTGACTCATGGCAATTCCATGTGTTTCAGAGTAGGACTACCCTCCATAGGACTTTCATGGCTATGACCTTTTGGAAGCAGATTGCCAGGCCTTTATTCCAAGGCTTCTACGGGTGGGTTCAAACCACCAACCTTAAGTTTAGTATCCCAGCGTGTAGTCATTTGGTCTACCCAGCGACTCCTTAGAGCATTATACCAATATCTAAATCATAAATGTGTAATGATACAAAGCTGAAATTTTATATAGTTAAGTGCTGTCTTGTGCGGATTGTTATTTTGAAATTAAATAAAGAAATACTCAGGTGTGTCATGCATCGTTTTATTTATTGCAAGGTAGTCATGTGGCAAGGCATGCAGGTAACACCTCTAGGCATTCATTTATCACTAGAGAATCAGAATTAACAATTACAATGTTAGTTCAATGATTAGAGGCCGAATCTTTAGACTTCAGGCTTTTACCTTTACCGAGTGGTCTCGGGAGGAGACTTGACCACCTTGTAGCTAGGGTCTGAGGTCGCTTGCGGTGGGCAGTATTACAGCAGGCTGTCAGTCTTCAGAGAGGGCGAGAGTCAGGGAGTTGTTTTCCTGCTGTCTTTCCTCAGCAAGTGAGCAGAAAGTGACAGTTTATATACACTTTTTTCACCTTCACTTCACAAAATAGAAGTTAGATGCTGTCATGTCTAACCAGGATTAGTATGTTTTATTGTCAATTTAGGGAATTGTTGTATGACATATTTATGTCCCAGGGAAAATTTATAGAGATTCAGTTTATTAGAAATTAAGGGGGTTATCATATGACATATTTATGTCCCTGTTTACTACATACTTCACATACTTCTATTATCTATTTCCAAGATTAGAACCACTTTCTAATGACTTATACTTTCTAATGACTGAAAAGTTTCTAATGACTTAAAGTTAGTGGTTAAAGAGCATCATAGAAGTATACATGTTTCTATTTCTAAGTTCAGGAACACTATTTCTAACGTCACATTATAAGTGACTTGTACATAGGTGGCACAGTGGTTAAGAGCTACAGCTGCTACCAAAATGTCGGCAGTTCGAATCTGCCAGCCGCCCCTTGTAAACCCTGTGGGGCAGTTCTACTCTGTCCTATAGGGTTGCTATGAGTCTGAATTGACTTGATGGCAACAGGTATACATAGGTGTTTTAAAATATTATAAAGCTAGATATATACCCTAGAAATTGAATACTAAAGACACAATCAGACATATGCACACCTATCTTCACTGCAGCACTATTCACAATAGCAAAAAATGGAAACAGCCTAAGTGCCTGTCAACAGATGAATCGATAAACTAAATGTGGTACATACATACAATGAAATACTTTGCAGCCGTAAAGATTAATGGTGAGTCTTCAAAATACGTTATAATGTGGATGAAACTGGAGGACATTATCCTGAGTGAAATAAGTTAATCACAAAAGGACAAACACTGTGATTTCACTATTATAAAAAGACAAGAATAAGTATACACACTGAAATCAATGTTCGCTGGTGGTTACCAGGGATAGGTGGGGGGAGGGGGAAGATGACTCTCTAGATAGTAGATCTTTGTTATTTTGGGGAATGGGAAATATAACACCAAATATAAGTGAAGTGTGCACAGCTTTACCAAAGTGAATGATGTCACTAAGAAGTAGGCAAGAGAAAAGGGATGTTTATGGTAAATGCTAGGACATATACAATTGTGCAACAACTAAATAATAAGAGTGTGGACACGTGTATGTACGTATGCATACAAGTGTATAAGTATGTATGTGTGTGTATATAGGTGGACATATATAGAAGTATCTATGCACATAGCTCTGGTGGCAGAGTGGTTAAGCACTTGGCTGCTAACCCAAAGGTCGGCGGTTCAAACTCACCAGCTGCTCTGTGAGAGAAAGATGTGGCAGTTTGCTTCCGTGAAGACTTACAGCCTTGGAAATCCAATGGGGCAGTTCTACTCTGCCCTACAGGGTAGCTATGAGTTAGAATCAACTCAGTGGCAGCTGGTTTTACAAGCAGATATATATATATATATATGCGTATACATATTTACGTATATATATACGTAAGTGTACGCATCCATATATATTCATATGTATAATGAAGCACATAGAGGGCTCAAACACTGATACTTACTAGACTTAACCAAACAGCTGGCCGGGTCCTTCTTAAGACAGACTAGGAAGAAGGACCCGGCAGTCTACTTCTGAAAAGAATTAGCCAGTGAAAACCTTATGAATAGCAGCAGAACACTGATATAGTGCCAGAAGATGAACCCCTCAGGTTGGAAGGCACTCAAAAGACGACTAGGGAAGAGCTGCCTCCTCAAAGTAGAGTGAACCTTACTTAATAAGGTGGATGGAGTTATGCTTTCGGGACCTTCATTTGCTGATGTGGCGTGAGTCAAAACGAGAAGAAACAGCTGCAAATATCCATTAATAATTGGAACACGGAATGTAAGAAGTATGAACCTAGGAAAACTGGAAATCATCAAAAATGAAATGGAACACATAAACATCGATATCTTAGGCGTTAGTGTGCTGAAATGGACTGGTATTGGCCATTTTGAATCAAACAATCATATGATCTACTATGCTGAGAATGACAGCTTGAAGAGGAATGGCATTGCATTCATCATCAAAAAGAACATTTCAAGATCTATCCTGAAGTACAACAGTGTCAGTGATAGGATAATATCCATACGCCTACAAGGAAGGCCAGTTAATATGACTATTATTCAGATTTATGCACCAACCGCTAAGGCCAAAGATGAAGAAATTGAATATTTTTATCAGCTTCTGCAGTCTGAAATTGATTGAACATGCAATCAGGATGCATTGATAATTACTAGTGATTGGAATGCGGAAGTTGGAAACAAAGAAGAAGGATCGGTAGTTGGAAAATATGGCCTTAGTGACAGAAACAATGCTGGAGATCGCATGATAGAATTTTGCAAGACCAATGACTTCTTCATTGCAAACACCTTTTTTCACCAACATAAATGGCAACTATACACATGGACCTCACCAGATGGAATACACAAGAATCAGATCAACTACACCTGTGGAAAGAGACAATGGAAACCTCGATATCATCAGTCAGAACAAGGCCAGGGTCCGACTGTGAAACAGACCATCTATTGTTCATATGCAAGTTCACACTGAAACTGAAGAAAATTAGAACAAGTCCACAAGAGCCAAAGTATGACCTTGAGTATATCCCACCTGAATTTAGAGACCATCTCAAGAATAGATTTGATGCATTGAACACTAATGACCGAATACCAGATGAGTTGTGGAATGACATCAAGGACATCATACATGAAGCAAGCAAGAGGCCATTAAAAAGACAGGAAGAACAAAAAGACCAAAATGGGTGTCAGAAGAGTCGCTGAAACTTGCTCTTGAACATCGAATAGCTAAAGCAAAAGTTAGAAGTGATGAAGTAAAAGAACTGAACAGAAGATTTCAAAGGGGGGAGGCTGGAGAAGACAAAGTAAAGTATTATAATGACATGTGCAAAGAGCTGGAGAGAGAAAACTGAAAGGGAAGAGAACATGCTCAGCAT